AAAAAATAACCACACACACACACACACACACACACACACACACACACACACACACACACAAAACTTTACTGATATATATGGCAGCAGAGTGAAAGTATTTCAGTACTAGTGTTGAGTATGATCATCTTTTTCTGCCTAAATATTAACATGCACATGGATATACACGATACACATTTTTCACAGATTTAACAATAAAAATAACCAAAAAGTAGACTCCTGAACCCTCATATCCTTACTTTCAGTCTGTATCAGGAAAAAGAAAAAAAAGAAAACAAACCACACACAGATGGCTGGGCTCTCATGGACTTTTATCAGTTGATGCCACTACACACAAATTAAATTTTCTATTTTAAAAACAAGCTTCATACACTGGAAAGAGCAAAGATGCAGAAAAAACTAAAAATTTTTTCTATTTCAACAGTAAGAATGAATGTCAAGAGGAGGGGAAAAAAAGCAGAAAGAAGGGGAAAATGTAGTATTTGTAGCAGTAACAGAAACCAAATGAAGAAGTAAAAATCTGAACAATGTCTACTGATATACATACTCATATGAAGTAGAATTACAGAGTAAAGACAAGGAAGAACTCCATTAAATACAGGCTAAGACGATTCATCTCAAGAAAAAATAACCACACACTGAAAAACCTTACAACGACATAAGACAAACACCTGACTGCAGCACAGGGTGACGCTGTACTCCACTCACTGTGTTACTTATTTCTGGAAAGTGTGGATTCTAGTAATGAATACTATCGAACTATTTTTGCAAATAAAATGCATTTTAAAAAATCTACTCCTATACAAAATCTTTTTAATATACTCAAATTAAAAAACAGAAGTTCTAAATTCTTACCTTCTTACAAATGTCCAATAAAGACTTATAAAACTTTTTATCAACAGTTCGAAAAATCTGAAAGTGCAGTACAAAGAGTCCACAGATTCCAACATACTTGTCCCTCTGGTCAATTTCCGAAGGTTCTCCTTACAAACAGGAACAAAGGAGAAAAGTAGAACCAAAATACTTAAGTTATGCTTCAAAGAAATGCAAACTGTATAATCAAAAACCCAAAAACGCAATTTACATTACCAAGTTTGGCTTCTACATTTGCAAAAATTGAGCGAAGACTATGTGCAAATTCTTCAGCAAAAGTGCTATTTTTGGACACAGATACTCCTCCGTTGAGAGAATCAAACTGCTGTTCTATACAGGCCTACACGGGAAACAGTGAAGAGAGAGTTGGTCTCAATAAGCTATCGAGCAATTCACATGGTGTGTGATGAGCTTGGACTGTTATTTTAATTTTACTAAAACCAAAGCTTAAGTTCTTACTTTAACCTGTTATCTACATCCTTCTGATTGGAAAGTATGGGTGCACTTCCATATCCGAGTATGACTTATGTGAAAGTCATACAGCTGGACCCCTGTAACAGCAAACAGCCACATACAGGTTGTAGCCACAGAAATATGAGGTTCAGGTCCACACAAATAGAGAGGAGCCACATAATAATTTTAAAAAGATGAAGGTTTATTATAAGCCAGGTACGGGGGCGCACGCTGGTCATCATAGCACTTGGGAGGGAGGCTGAGGCAGGAGGACTGCTACGAGTTCAAGGCCAGCCTGGGCTACATAGTGAGATTCTGTCCCCACTTTCCCGAAAGAAAGTTTATTATAGAAGTACAGCAGAGGGCCGGGGATTTAGCTCAGTGGTTTTGCCGCCTGCTGTGCAAGTGCAAGGACTCGAGTTCGATCCCCAGTAACAAAAAAATAAAAATAAAAATAAAAGTACAGCAGATATGAGCATAGTCAAATAATATATTCCCACACAATGAGGCCGAGGACATCACCAAAGATGAAGGATCTCGTATGAGCTGGGGCCTTTGGAGAAAACGCCACATGGTATCCAGTTCGTTTCCTAAGCACAGCGTTCAGACGAAAGAGACTGGGTGCCCATAGACCTGCACGGCTGAAGGGATCACTCAAGGACCCACACACCGGCGGTGCACCCAAGGCATGTAGTAATGACAGGGCATGCGGCTGCGTTCATTCAGCAAGCACCTGCACTTTGCTGGCTCTCATTATTTTAACCCTTTTCCTGACAACCCCAGATGTCTGAGTGAAGAGACAGAGCTGCTCAGAGTGTACACAAGATATTTCTGGTAGAGCACTGGAAAGCATGCTCGTCATTTTACTGTACACTCTTAAGAGTGGAGTATATACTTTCAGTTTACAATTACTCTGTTACCACTTCAGCATAGCAAATGTGGAAATGTCCCTTGGAAAAAGAATAACAAAACTTACTTTCTGAATCTAATGGACTAACAATTAAATGGGTAAAAACAAGAGTCAGGTCAATCTATGAAAACTGTAATCATGTAAAATATAAACTACCTGACGTGGTTGTAAAATAGGATGGAATATAATTTCTGGGGGACACTAGCCAAGGTGGTCCTGTCCACAGAACTTTCCCTGATGGTGGAAATGTTCTGCTTCGTGCTGAAGGGTAGACGGCCAGCCACAAATGACCTGTGGCTATTGAGCACCTGAAACGTAGCTACTGTGACCAAGTGATTTTTTTAATTTGATGTCAGTTAATGTGAAATAGCCACATGTGGCTCAAAGCTAGTCTACTGGACCATGCAGACTCAACTTATATTCCATGAGCCTTAGAGGAATTAACCAGGTTTTTTTTAAAGGTAGACTCACAAACCTAAGCACAACACTTAACACAAAAGCTTCAGCATTAGATTTTAATCCTTAATTTTATCCTTTTACATAATATTTCTAAAAACCTTCATCCCAAGTACAACCTGTCACTGTTTGCTACTTCATATACAAACAATCTATTAAGCCAAAGCACTTTTTAAAGGAAAACAAATTCAGTGGTATTCTATAAAAGCATCTGTAATTCTTAGCTCAGTCAGCTGAGACAAGCCCAACTGCTGCAGCCCTGGCACAGCCCCACTTACCTGGAATATCGTTCCATCAAGCAACTGTCCTTCCAGCCTCAGCAGAAACTTTTCAAATGGCTTCAGTTTTTCTTCCTGAATTCCAAATTTTGAAGGGTTGTGATGGACAGATTTCATTAACCTTGGAAAAGATTATGAAAAGATCTTAAATCTACTCAACTGATTCTTAAAAACTAGAAATTTTCCCCTAACTCACTACATAGCCCAGGCTGGCTTCAAACTTGCAGCAATTCTCCTGCCTCAGCCTCCTGAATGCTGGGATTACAGGCGTGGGCCACAATGCTTGGCTCTGAGCAAACCAATCTTAATATATTTAATTATCTGGTGCTTGTTTTCCCATCCTAAATTCATATATTTGATACTAGGCATTAGGTGGACATAAACAGAATAAAATATAGACATTCTATAGCAAAATGAAACCAAGCTCAGACAAACTGTTAAACAGAACCCAAAAGAAAATAATCTGTGTCCTATGGTGGGTAAATTAACATCCTACTGCACAACAAACAAAAAGGTTCATACGGTAATATCACTGTCTCAAACCACCTCAAACTAAAGAATGGTACTACCTTCACAAAAATATCTGCCAACATGAGCTCCTTCCAAATATAGTCTGGTCTTCTAAAAGATCTGAATTCTTTATATCTGTTTACTCTTTACTAACACATTATCCATACAAAGTAAGAGAAGATTTAAGCGTTTTAGCTGGTGCACCTTTTGTACATGGTCCAGTGGTCTTTCAGAGTGATGTGATTATTGATGATCTCGTCCAGGGTGAGCAAAACTGTGAGCAGTTCTCCCAGGTGCTCATACATAGTCTGTCAAGAAACCTTTAATGATTATCATTTAGTCACCAGTTAGAAGTTAAGCATCATGTAGATTTTTAAAGCAAAACACATTTAGGTAAATTACTGAATTAGTTAAAGCAGGAGTAAATCAGTTACAGGTTTGATACTTAAATGGGACGTAAGCCTCTGCGCCACAGAGACTCTGAAAACTGCAGTAGGCTGCTCCAGGGAAAGCAGTTACCCGTTGCCGATCATAGTACCCATCGGCTACTGACAAAAGACAGGAAATGGAAAACAAAAAAACAAAGGCCTTCATATTGCCACAGCTGCTGTACTTGCCAATTATGCAAACTCCGAAGTGAGACACAGTAAAAATTTGTTTTACATGTCAAGTTAAATTACTTTTACCTGAAAATGAACTCCAGTTGTCTCTATGATTTTGGGTGCAACCCTATAATAAAATAACATCCAAGTTATAGCATCCAAAAAACTGAAATATCTAGGAATCAACCTAATGAAAAAAATCAAAGACCTCTTCTCTGAAAACTACAGCACTCTGAAAAGAGAGATTGAAGATGATATCAGAAAATGGACAGACATCCCCTGCTCCTGGGTAGGAAAGAT